TCTTGGGCCGTCGTGGGTGCCTCCGAAAGGGGCGATTCAGGAATCGGCCCGAGATGGCTCATGGCGTCCTTCGCTTTTGAGAGCCCCTGTGTGAAGGGCTGGTCACGTCACCGCTCGCTCTTGGGAGCTGTACCTAGGAGAGCTCTCTACGCTGCGGCTCGCTCTCGGGAGCCTTGGTGAGAAGAGCTTTGTACTTCACCGATCGCTCTTTTAATGGGCGTCTCTGGGCCTGCTTGGTGGTCCTTGTGGGGGCCTTTTTCGCGCCATTCTGAAGCTTTTTTGGGGCTGCTCTGGGAGCGTTTTGGGACGCCTTCGGGCCATTTTGGGCCGTCACGGGGCGTCCGGGAGGCCTTGAACCGTTTTGGAGCTCTCCTGAGGCTGCCTGAGGCTGTCTTGGGAGCCTCTTGGGGCCCCCTCGGAGCTCTCTTGGGGCCGTCTTGGGGTTCTGTGAGGCCGTTTCAAGGCTCTCTGGCGTCGTCTTGGGGCTCTTGTGGGCCGTCTTAGGGGCCCTCTTAGGGGCCCCTGGCGCCTTCTTGGGGCGATTTGGGAGGCCTCTTGGCGTGCCCTGGGCCGCTGAAGAGCACACAAGGCGGGCATGCTGAAAATATAGGTTTTCGTATGGGAGTTTGACGATTTGTGCCTCTTTGGCGTGCGCTCGGGGCCCTTTTGGGGCGTCTTTGCGGCCTCTTGGATCGCCGTGGAGCCCCCACCGGAAGGCTTCGGGCCCTCGTGGGCCTTCTCGGGACCCACTGAGGCCGTCTTGGAGCGCTCTTGGACGGTCTGGGAACCCCTGTGGAGCGCTTCTGGGACCAGCCTGAGCGATTCGGCCCCGTGGTGGCGCCGCAAAGGGGCGATTTTGTCCACTTGAGGCCCTGGGCTTCTCGCACGCGCTTCCACCGGCCATGTAGGAGAGACTAGTGTGAACTCGTGGGTTAAATCCACGGCGTGCTGAACCTGGGACTCGCACACCGTGGGAGAATAGCTCATCGAAGTTGAACAGCTCGGGCGTCCCTGGGGCAGCGTCGGGACCGTCTTGGTGCCGTCGTGCCAGAGGGCACGAAGAGGGCCCCAAGACGGCTCCAAGAGGGCCCCAGGACGCCGCCGGGCGCGGGCCCACCACTCGGCCACGAGAGGCCTTTCTGTGGCAGAATTCACCTGGCCCTGTCTTGGAGGGGCCGAAGGCCCCAAGAGGGCCGCAAGAGTGCCTCCAGGGGGCCCCAAGAGGGCCCCACACCGCATGTACTTGATAAGCTTCTTGGGCTTGCGAGAGGGGCACCCAAGTATGTGCGTCACGGGGCCTTGTCGGGGCCCTCTTGGGGCCCTCCTGGCCCCCTCTTGGGGCCCCTCGGGAGCGCTCCCACCCTGTCCTGGTCCCCTCTTGGGGCCGCCATGTGCGCCTGAGGAGCCGTCCTGGCGCAGTCTTGAGCAGTCTTGGGGCCCTCCTGGCAGCCTCCTGAGGCGTCTTGGGACGATATTGAAGGCCTCTCTGGCCGTCTTGGACGCTTCGAAGCCGAAAAGCACGGGAACTCCTGAAATGCACGTTTTCCGAAAGGATTGGGCCGATTTTTCCTTGTTCGGGCTCTCCTGGGGATCTCTCTGGAGCCCACTTGGAGCATTTTGGTGGCTTCTGGGCCCGTCGGGCGGCTGTCTTGGGCGTTTTCGAGCACTCGGGCCCGTTTCGGAGGCCCTCTTGGACGGCCTTCGGCCGTCGTCGGGCCCTCTTGGGGGCCTCCGCGAGATCCGAGCGCCTGCCCGCAGCGGGCCGAGCCGGGCCGAGGTGGGCCGATGCCACCGGGCCCTCTTTGCGCACGCGCTGGCTCCAGTACTGAAGTATAGGCTAGTGCTGGCCCGTGGCATGCTGGCCCAGAACTGCTTCCGAGATGGCACGTTGGCCCGGGGCGGAGAAGCTGCGGGAAGGCTTTCATGGTGGACGCTAGGCCAAAACTTCGGCTCTGCTGCTGCTGCCTGCGGCTGCGGCTGCAGGATGCTGCTGCCTGCTGCGTACTGCTGCCGTTGGCTGTTTCTGCGTGCTGCCGCTGGTGGTGCCCGCTGCGGGCGGAGTGCTGCTGGTGCTGCCATTCGCTGCCTCTGCTTCTTAGGCTGCAGGGTGATGCTTCCCTGTGCTCCTGCAGGTTTCGCTGACGCAGCCGGCTGCTCGCGAGTGGATCCAGGAGGGAGGAGCGATGAGCAAAGAGCGAGGAGTCAGGCTCGAGGACCGATGTGGGAGAAGCGAGGGCTCAGCGAGGATCAAGGAGAAAGGCGATGAGCGAGGAGCAAAGAGAGTGAAGCGCGGAGAGATGCTTGAGAAGCGGCCTTGGGGCCTCTCAGAGGCATCTTGGGGCAATCGTGCGACCTTTTTGGCGAGTACCGTGAGCTCACCTGGGGCACTTGTGCGAGGCACTAGGTCTTGAAGGCCGCTTAGGGCGTCCTTGGGGCGTCCTTGGCCGGTGTCGGGGCCCAGGAGACAGTACACTTCGTTCATATCTGGCACGCGATTCGCTCAGAGTTGGTACAGATGGCCCTGGGCTCCGACATCGCATCCCGCAACTCGCTGAGCAACTGACAGGATTGGGCTCTGGCTTCACAATCAAGATCTCGCTGAGCAGCGCCAAGGCCCTCTTTCACTGCAAACCTCTCTCTCATATGTGGTGATCTCGTCGCTATGACCAACCAGGGCGGATCCGTGCAATGCTATCCGAAGCGGCTTCCTGCGCGATGGAACGCCACTGCCAAATTCAAAATACGGATGTCCGTCCACGAAATCACAGTGGTTGCCCGGCAGGTTCTCAGTCGCAGTGTTTCGCAAGACAAGTGGGAGCGCGAAAGGACGATCCCAAGATAGCATGGACATCCTGCCAAGTTGCGAGACGACCTCACGTACGCTGTAATGCACGAGTTGTAACTCATTTCGTGCGTCTCCAAGTTGCACTCCCGCATCTCGCTGAGCAGCGACAGCGCACGCCGCGACTGGCCGCATCTCCCTCACACGCGCAGATCGCAGCGACGTAGCTGACTAGGGCAGGCCCGTGGACTGACGTCCACGACAGCTGACCCGCGCGCAGGAGTGGAGATCGCTTGCCTGCTGTCGTCATGCTTGCTCGATGCCCTGAGCGCATGGGTGTTCGCCTGCTGCCCAAGCCACCGTATACCGGGCGTTACTGTTTGCATGCTGGCCAGCGCATGCCCGTCGGCTTGCCTGTGTGCTTGCTTGGTTGCTTCGTCACTTGCTCGCCTGCCCGCTGGCGATCAAGATCACGTGGTATGCAGGCCACCGCGTCGGAAGGAGTAGTGCGCGGTCGGGGCAAAAGAGGCCAGAATCTGTAGGCCACCGCTTCGGCGGGTGGTCGGCGGACGGCGTCGGGTGCGGGACTGCGGGAAATTTGAGGGTGAGCATGCCAAGCATGCGGGCATGTTTTTTGTGCGTTCACTGTGGGTGCGCGGATGTGTGCTCGGGTCTCGGTGACATGGTCTGGAGATGTGGGCGCGTTTGCTTGCGGTGCGACGTGGTGTGCGGCTTGCGACTCCGTGCGTCGGGTTTGGTGTTTCGGGCGTTGCTGTGGGGTTTCTCGGTTCTGGAAAGCGCGGAATGAGGACCTGCGGGGCAAGGCAAGCTTAGACCTCTGTTCGCCGTTTGCTCGTTGTGCCCAGGTCTGGCTCGCATGAAGCGTCCCACGGCTTCTGGGGAGCAGGATCGGACAACGAAGATGGCTGGTTATTTTGGGCGAGGCATGTGGGCGGGTGGTGAGGGACATGTTGTGAAGTACGTTCGGTGCTACTTGGCGGGTGCGAGGCGCGCGGCTTCCCATGCAATGCTGACACCGGAGAGAGAGAGAGAGAGAGAGAAATAGAGAGAGAGAGAGCGAGAGCGAGAGAGAGAGAGAGAGAGACAGAGAGAGAGCGAAAGAGAGAGACGCGAGGGGCCAGGAGAGGGGTGGGAAGAGCGAGGAGGAGTAAGAAGAGAGGAGCCAGGAGCGAGGACAGAGAGAGAGAGAGAGGGGAAGGCGAGGAGCAAAGAGAGAGCGGCGAGGAGGGAGAAGCGAGAGGGGAGGCATGAGAAGAGGCCGGCACCCGAATTTCGCAATGGCCTCGGCGCGCGTGTGGCCGAACATCGGGTGCCCTGTGGGGTCGCTCATATTCGGCGGTGGACAAGCCTCCCTTTATAGTAAACCTCCCTTTCGTGAAAACGGCCTGGGACCGAAACCGACGGACCTGGACCCGCAACATAACGGCCGCGGCGCCCTCTCGCGACCGAAAACGGCCAATCCACTAATCGACGTGCCTTGCAGGAGGTCCATCAGCCTCCGAGGCTTTCGTGAGTGCCCGGCGCGGCCCCAGAGCTGCTGTCCGAGGGAGCTTCCTGCGGAAGCTCCTTCACTGGGCATCGCTCGGACGTCCATTCCCTGTGTTTTTTTCGGTTTCGTGCGTGGTTTTTTCGCCAAATGATCAAGGATGCACACGTCCGAGCGATGCCAGGTTCACAGGCGGTCTTGGGGGTGTCCTGGGGCCTCGGGGGCCTCTCGGGGGCCTCTCGGGGCCCGCTCGCTTTGGACCTCTTGGAAGCCTCCTGGGGCTTCTCGGGGTCATGGGGGCCTGCTGGCGGTCTCGGGGGTCATCTCTTCGGGGCGGATGGCGCGAGCTGCCAGCTCGAGCTGTCCTTCTAAGGGCCCTCTTGGGATCCTCTTGGGGCCGTCCGTCATGGTTCGCCTTGGGGACCGATTCTGCCCTCTTGGGGCCCTCTTGGGCTGTCTGGGGGCCCTCTTCGGGACCTCGTGGGCCGTCTTGAGGCGATATTTGCCCGAAAAGGCGAGACGGTCAACATCCTTTCAACGCTAAGGGAGGTCAATGATTTTCGCCTCTCGGGGCCCGCTTGGGCGGCCTCTTGAAGCCCCTCTTGGGCCATCTTGTGGCCCTGTTGGGCCGTCTGATGGCCATGTTGGCGACCGCTTGGACCGCCTAGAAGCGTCTCGGACAATTTTGGACCGTCTTGGGGACCTCTTAGGCCGCCTTGCAGCGCACAGGCCGTGCTTGTGGGCTCTGGGGGCCTGCGAGAGCCAGAGAAAACACCATGAAGACACAGGCCCTTCTAACACGGATGAGGCACTGCATTGTAGAAGAGACTAGGGCTGACTCGTGGCCTACAGGCCACGGGATCTGGCCGAGATTGCACGTTGGACCAGGGCAGAGATGTTGCCGAGTGGCTTTCGCAATGACGTCGCGCCAGAACTTCGCCTCCGCTGTTGCTGCCTGCGGCTGCAGGGCGCTGCTTCCTGCGACATGTTGTTGCTGCTGCTTACTTTCACTGTGTTGCCGCTGCCTGCTGCGGACTGCTGATGTCTGCTTCTGCTGCTTGAAGCTGCACAGCGCTGCATCTGGATAATCTTGCTGGATGACGCAGCCTGCAGCTCGTGAGTAGAGCGAGGATCGAGGAGCAAGGAGCGAGGAGTCAGGGTCTTATGGGGGAGATGGGGGAAGCAAGGAGCAATCAGCGAGGAGCACCGATCGAGACGGGAGGAGCGACGGTCGAGGAGAAAGTCAGAGAGGGAGAGGGAGAGAGGAGGGATAGAGGCAGGCCCGAAGAGGAGGGTGAGGCAGACGCCGGTAGCCAGGAGGGAGAAGCGAGGGGCCAGGAGAGATGTGGAAGGAGCGATGATGATGATGATGATGATGATGATGATGATGATGATGATGATGATGATGATGATGATGATGATGATGATGATGATGATGATGATGATGATGATGATGATGATGATGATGATGATGATGATGAGAGGAGGATGAGGAGGAGTGAGAAGACGGAGCGAGGAGAAGTAAAAAGAAGGAGCGAGGAGAGGGAGGCGAGGGGCGAGGAGAGGAGAGAGCGGGGAGGAGCGAGGAGCGTGGAGCGAGGAGCGTGGAGCGAGGAGGAAGGCATGCGAAGAGACCAGCACACGCATGTCTCAATGGCCTCGTCGCGCGTGGCCGAACATCTGGTCTCCTCTCGATTCGCTCATGGGGCTCTCTTGGGTGCCCGGCGCGGTCACAGAGCTCTCTAAGGGATCATTTTTTTTGTTTATTTGTTTTTCTCTCGGAAGCCTCATCGAAACGGTTCTGGGGGTGTCTTGGGGCCTTTCCGGGTCCTCTTGGGGGCGTCTCGGGGCCTGCTTGGGCCTCTTGGAAGCCTCCTGGGGCTTCTGGGGGGCCTCTTGGGTGCCTGCTGGTCTGGGGCTTTCTTGCGTTGGAGGGCGCGAAGTGTCTGTTCGAATTCTCCCTCTTGGGGCCCTCTTGGGCCGCCCTGGGCGCCTCTCTTTTCCGCTTGGACCCTCTCGGGGCCCTCTGGGAGCGTGCTGGGCCGTCTTGGAGCGATCTTCGGGGCCCTCTTTGGGAGCCTCCTGGGGGGCCTTTCGGCGTTTTCTTGGGCCGTCTCCTGTATGGCCGTCTGAGGGCCGTGTTTGCGACCTCATGGACCGTCTTGGGCCGTCTTGGGGTCATCCAGGGACTCTCTGAAGGCTTGCTGGGGCGTCCTGGGACCGCCTGGGAGCGCGCCGGGGCCGGCCAGGAGGCGCTTTCCCTGATCGTGCAGGAGAGATGACGTCGGGCTCCACTTGCGCCTCCCACATCTCGCTCAACAGCGCCAGCGCCAGCTGCCACTGCTCTCCCTTCTCGCAAGCGCTGGTCCCAGCATTGCAGCAAATGATGTCGGGCTCCAATTGCACCTCCCACATCTCGCTCAGCAGCGCTAGCGCCGGCTGCCACTGCTCGGCCTTTTCGCACGCGCTAATCCCAGCACCATAGCTGATGACGTCGGGCTCCAGCTTCACCTCCCGCATCTCGCTAAACAGCGCCAGCGCCGGCTGCCACTGCTCGCCCTTCTCGCAGGCGCTGATCCCAGCATTGTAGCTTACTATAGGGCGAACCCGTGGACTTCGTCCACGTCATCTTGGGCCGGTCTTGGCTCGATAAGGCCGTCTTGGGCCAGTCTTGATTCGAAACGGCGAGAAGGTAGAAATCTGTCAAAAACCATGGGGAAATCAATGATTTCGTTTTCCGCAGCCCGTCTGGACGGCGTCTGGGGCCGTGTAGGGGCCATTTTGGGAGTGCTGGGCCGTCACGGAAGTCTCTGCGAACCCTCTTGGGCGGCTCTTGGGGCCCGTGGGGGGGCTCCTAGGGGCTGTCTTGGGCAGTTTTGGGCTCCGCCAGGAGCCGTAACCGCATGCCGATGATAATAAAGGGACCCCCCCCCCTTCAGTGTTTAGAGTTGATTATCGTCGCCCTATACAAAATTCAAATTTTGCGGCGAGCGCTGAGGCCGAACTTCATTATCACCTCGAAACGCTATGTTGAGATAGCAACGTCAAGCGATGTTGATATAGCAACATCAAGCGAAGCGATCACACTTTTTCAGGATGTGTCAAGCGAAACCAATAATTTTGGGAGGCAGACTCAAACGAAACGAGCAATGTTCTTATTATTCTTCTACTTTCCTCTTCTTCTTTTATATTTCTATCTGTCCTCACGCTCGCCTGAACTTTTTTATCCCTGGGGTTGATTATCCATGGAAAATGAAGCACATGAGCTACCCTACACGAGCACTTAAAACAATCAATTTTCATAAAGCGTTTGTAAATTAAAATTAATAGATTTGGAACTTTGGATTTTTCCTTTCATCGTCCTCTTCTTATTCTCCTCTTCTTCTTCTTTCTTATTATTCTTCTACTGTATTCTTCTTCTTCTATATTTCTCTCTGTCCCCACGCTCGCCTGAACTTTTTTATCTCTGGGGTTGATTATCCATGGAAATTGCGGCACATGAGCTACCCTACACGAGCACTTACAAAAAACAATTTTCATGAGAGATAAGCCATTGTTGAGGATATTTCTATGAAAACTAAACGCCAAGGATGTCTCAAAACGTGCTCGGCTTGGTCTCCTCTTGATCATCTCTTACTTCGAGATTATGCTGAGGTCTGCTGGGCTACTTTTATTATCTCTCCCTGAACCCCGAACTTTATTATCCCCTAGTGTTTATTCTCACGGGCATGAGGTTATTGGAGCCCTCCTGAGAAGTCTTTGGGCCTTTGCCAGAGCTCTTTGGCGGCCTCGGAGCATTCGGGGGGGCCCAGCAGCCGTCCTGGGCCGCTCTTGGCTCGAAACCGCAAGAACCAGAAGATCAGGCAAACAACCATACAACACATCAAGGATGTTTGGCCGCCGCGAGCCGCCTGGACGGCCTCAGGGGCCGTCTTGGGGCCACGTTGGGGCTCTTGGCCCGATCTCGGCGCTCCCTTTAAGCCGGGCCTGTCGCCCTACAGGCCGATTTTGAACAGGAAATGAAAAACAGTCAAAACTATGCAGATAATGTTTAAAAAAACTCAAAGAATAGACCCCCGACTATTTTTTGTACTATTTTAGGATATTCCTCCTGCAGAGGGACAGGCCCGACTTCACGCTCCCTGAAGGCGTCCCGAGGCGTGCTCGAGCCGGCCGCCCGGAGGCACGCCGGGCCGCGCCAGGGGCACCCGGGGCCCGCCGGGGCCGCGCCAGGGGCCCGCCGAGGCCGATTTTGGGCACTGGATCCGCGTTTCCCTTCTCGCACGCACTTCCCCTCGGCCACGTAGGAGAGACAAGGGTTCCCAACTTCGCGCTTCGCGCGGCGCGAAGCGCGAAGTGCGAATGGCTCCACGCTCTCGCGCCGCCTCCCAGGGGAGAAGAGGAGCAGGAGGAGTCGGAGCCGAAGCGCGAAGCGCGAATCACTTCTTGCCCTCGAGGGCGCCCTTGAGAGATGACGTCGGGCTCGAGCTTCACCGCCCGCATCTCGCTCAGCAGCGCCAGCGCCGGCTGCCACCGCTCGCCCTTCTCGCACGCGCTGATCCCAGCATTGTAGCTGACTGCTGCCGTAGGAGTCCGACCACAAGAAACCTGCTACAATGAAGGGGCCCCAGGACACACAAATAAATACACACAAACAAAAATGTTCCCCATATTTTCCCATGTTTTCTGGGTTTCTGTCTTCCCCCCCACTTCCCATATTTTCCCATATTTTCTGGGGAATCGAGGATTAATTGTCTGAGTGTTTTTTCCTCTCCTGATACAAGAAATCATACCCTGAAACCACAGGATGTCCATCGATTTCTTGCGCGGGAAACTCACGCCTTCCACAGGAAAACCACCGAAACCCAAGAAACAAAGGGCACCCTGGAGGCAAGCAGGGTGTTTCTTGGCAAGGGCCCCGACTGTAGGACAGACCCCTTTGCCGACGGGCCACGGAGTCTGTCCGAGATGGCACGTTGGACCAGGGCAGAGATGTTGCCGAATGGCTTTCCCAATGACGTCGGGCCAGAACTTCGCCTCTGCTGTTGCTGCTGCTTGCTTTTGCTGTGCTGCTGTTGCCTGATGCGGACTGCTGCTGTTCCCTTGTGCTTTTTGACGCTGCAGAATGCTGCTTCTTGGTAACCTTGCTAGGTGGCGCGACCTGCAGCTCGTGGGTGGAGCGAGGAGCGAGGAGCAAGAGCAAGGAGTCGAGGTCGAGGGGAAAGGTGGGGGAAGCGAGGGGCGATCAGCGAGAAACGCGGAGCGAAAAGGGAGGAGCGACGGACGAGAAGACAGATGGGCGAGGACGCGTTCGGAAGAACCGAAGAGGAAGGGAGAGACAGGCGCAAATTGCAAGGAGGTAGAAGCGAGGGGCTAGGAGAAAGGTGGGAGGAACGAGAAATGAGAAGGGAGTGGCCAGGAACGAGGACAGGGAGGCGAGGGGCGAGGAGACAGCAGGGAGGAGCGATGAACGTGGATCGAAGAGCAAGGAGCTGGAAAGGGGGACATGAGAAGAAACCGACCCGCGCATGTCTCCATGGCCTTGGCGCGGGTGTGACCGAACATCTGCTCTCCTTTTAGGTGGCCAAACGAAGATAGGTTGGCAAGCCGTTGTACGTAGATCGTCTTGGACGATCCCCCTATCCCAGCCATGACGTAGCGTGGGTAAGGAAGGACAATCAAAGGACATGGGTCAGTGAGAATGTAAGAGGATACGTGATTGAAGCACGATGCGCGTTTGTCTCACGCCATGGTAGGCAGCACGCTGTCTAGGCATAATGGAAAACGTCGTAGCTGAGTCGAAGGCAAAGCGAAATTGAGCAACGTCGTAGCTGAATCGAAGGGAAGCCCCTTCCCTTTGATCCCTTTCCCGGGGGGGGGGGGGGGGGGTCCCGGGGGGGGGGGGGGGGGGGGGGGGGCAGATACGCATCCCCCCCCCAGGATGTCCCGGGACCTAGAGAAGCCCCCAGACTGGCCAAGAGTGCCCCAAGAGGCTTCCAAGTCGGCTCCAGAGGGCCCCGAATCGCCGAACCATCGGTCGAAGACGCCAAAGTAGCCTCCAGACGGCCCAAGAGATTGCCAAGATGCTCCAAGAAGTCTCCAAGAGCACTCCCAAGAGGGCACGAAGAGGGATAAATCAATGATTTCTTTCAAGGTTTTGACAGATTTTGGCGTTCTCGCAGTTTCAACTTGCCGACGCTCCAAGACGGCCCCAGATGCCCCCAAGATTGCCCCAAGATAGCCCAGTAGGCCTCAAGAGAGCCCCAAAATGACCCAAGAGAGCCTCAAGACCACCCAAGATACCTCCAAGATGGCCCCAGAGACTCCCCAAACAGCTCCAACAGGGTGCCCAGACGGGGGGCCCGACGAGCCCTCGGCGACAGAGGCTCCCAGGAAGTCCCAAGATGCCCCCAAGAGACCACCACGAGACCCCCAAGGGGCCCCCAGGAAGCCCCAAGAGGCCCCCCCCCGCCACATGAGAGAACGCATGGGTCGCCCTCCAGGGTCGGCGGCACCGGCCGTAAGGCCTTCGCAGTGGGTTGGCAAACCGTTGTGCGTAGATCGTCTTGGACGATCCCGCTATCCCAGCCGTGACGTAGCGTAGGTAAGGAAGGGCGATCGAAGGACATGGGTCAGCGAGAATGTAAGAGGATGCGTGATTGAAGCACGATGCGCGTTTGTCTCACGCCATGGTAGGCAGCACGCTGTCTAGGCATATGTTAGCTGCGCGCAGCTGTGGGCCACAACGGCAGCGGATAGCTCGCTTTGCTCGCCCTTGACCCCCGTTCAAAGCCGGAGCGGAAGGAGACGATCGGCATATCCGCACGGTGGACAACCTCAGAGCCCTGCAAGTCGTTAGACCAATGCACTTGATTATGACTCCACCCGAAGTGACAATAAAGGTCCCGCAAAGGTCAGGCGTCTGGAGATCCAGACGCCCGAGCCAGTCCTGGAAATTAGAACGGGTCCGTGGCCCGGCGTGGGAAAGCATGTGGCCATGCTGATCCAACTTATTTGGTACAGGAATGTACATTCTGTCGGTTTCTTTAAGTCTTTGCTATATCAAGATTTGAAGACGGACTTTGCGTCGACGGTCACTCTGACCTTGATGCATCGATCAACCATCTCCCTATGTTTTTCAAGCTGTGTTGGTGTGAATGGTCCCTCTTGAAGTTTGCGAAGTGTCGCGATAATCGTGTAGCAATCGTCCAAGCTGAGCTTCCGCTGAGTAGCCAGAGCGTTTCTGCAGTCGGTGGGATTTGCAGTACGCGTCTAGCGTCCACGCCTAAGTCAGTTGGCAACTTTGATGACGTACCCCTTTACCTCGTCGTCGGCGCCGTTGAACCGTCGGTTGGGGTCGTAGCTTCTTGGTGTACGATGTTTATTGAGCCTGCCTGCAAGTTCTTAGTGGTAGCGCTAGGTCGTCGCACATCTATGCTGGTCGGTTCCTGGACACGTCGTAAAGACAGTACTACGTACGCCACCAACCATACTTGGGTGATCAAGGCGTACCCCAAAACACCCCGGAGGATGATGAGCATGTGAGCCACAATCGTCGTATGTCTTCCAGCTTCAGCACCTGTGAGTTCAGGATGCTGTATCAAAAGGAACTGTTTGACGTATGCGCCCTGGTCGAGGGCGACGCGGCCATCTTCAAGTTTGGCGTATCTCGCGGCGCAGCGTTTACAATTCTATATGATAGTTGGACTTGTGTGGGCCGACGGTCTTATCTACGCACCTGACGTTCTTGTCGATCATGTCCGCAAGGCCACCTCTGTTTACGTCACGTGCATTGCCGTCAGAAGTTTCTGGCTACTCTCGAACTTCTCATCGTATGATGTGGGTCGATCGGCCGAACCACCATATCAGGTGGTCCACCAAACTGTGCCGTGGAATACTGGTATTAGAATCAGAACCAACCGCGCTGTAGTGATGCCAGTTCCGCTATCAAATCGAAAGTGGGTTGGCAACCCGTTCTACATAGATCGTTTTAGAAGATACTTATATCCCAGTCGTGATGTAGCGTAGGTCAAGGATGGCGAGGAGGGACATGGGCCAGAGATAATGCAAGAGGATGCGAGGTAGACATACGATGTAAGTTTGTTTCACGCAACGGTAGACAACAAGCTGTCTAGGCATATGATAGCTGCGCGCCGCTGTTTGCCACAACGGCAGCGGATAGCTCGCTTTGCTCGCCTTTGACCTCCCTTCGAGGTCGCCCATGGGCTTCTTTTGGGTGGGCTGCGCGGTCCCAGAGCTCTCTAAGAGATCTTCCCTTGGGAGCCCTTTGGAGGCGTTTTGTGAAGGCGTTTTAGGGGCCTCGCAGGGCCTGAGTTGGGCCTCTTTGGGCTTCCGGGTGGCCTCTTGGAAGCCTGCTGGCGGAGGATGCGGAAGGCAATCTTGGGGCGGAGGGTGCGACATGCCAGTTCCCGCTCTCCCTCCTGGGGCCCTGTTTGGCCCCTCTTGGGGTCATCAGGGCCCTCTTGGACTGTCTTGGGGCCTCGGGGGCCTGCTGGGCCGCCTTGGAGCCATGTTGGGGGCCTTTGGGGCCGTTCGGGGCATGGGAAGCCCAGAGAAGGCGAGAGTGCCGAAATCCTTCAAAAAGGGAAATCACTGTTTTGGCGGGGTCCTCCTGTGCTATCGTGGGGGCCTTCTGGCCTGTCTTCGGGCGCTCTCGGGCCCTCCTGGGGCGCCGTTCGAGTCGTCTGGAGTCGTTTTGAAGCCGTCCTGGGCCGCCTGGAAGACATCTGGGGCTCTCCTGGTGCCTGTCCGAACGCCCCCTGAGGCTCTCCTGGTGCGCCCCTGCCCCGGAGCTCCTACCTCTAATTACCCCCACTCGGTGCGCAGGCCCGTCTCCCACGCACTTGCCCTGGTAATGTAGATCTGATGACGTTGGGCTCCAGCTTCGCCTCCCGCATCTCGCTCAGCAGCAACAGCGCCCACTGCCATTGCTCGCCTTTCTCGCACGCGCTGATCCCAGCGCTGTAGCAGATGACGTCGGGCTCCAGCTTCACCTCCCAGATCTCGCTCAGCAGCGCCAGCGCCCGCTGCCACTGCTCGCCCTTTTCGCACGCGCTGATCCCAGCGCTGTAGCTGACCAGGGCTGCCCCGTGGACCCCGCCAACGAAATCTGCACGAACTGGCACGTGATTGTGGACGCGCTGCCGAAAGGTTGAAATTACAAAGTGGGGCTCGACCCTCGCACTCGGTGTATGCTACTGCGTGCTGCTGCTTGTTGCCGCTGTTGCTTGCCGCTGCTGCGTGTCGTTGTTGCTTGTGGCTGCAAGGTGCTGTTGATGGCCACGTCTGCTTGGTGCGTCCCGCTGACCGCGAGCTGCTGCGGCTGCTACTGCTGCTGCTGCTGCTGCTGCTGCTGCTGCTGCTTGCTGTTGCTGTGTGCTGCCGCTGCTGTTGCCTGCGTAGTGTTTCGTGCCGCTGCCGTTCGGGTAATGGGGGCGTTTTGGGCCGTCCCAGGATGATCTTGAGCCACCTTGAAATCGCATTAGGGCCAAGGCTGGAAATGGAGAATCATAAGTGGGCCTTGTTTTCAACCATGCTCCATTGTGGCTGTGGCTGCCCGTGGAGGTCGGAGGATGCGCGCAAGCTGCGTGGGCTCGGAAGAAGTTCGAAGGCACTGCGGAGCATGCCCCCAATGGCCGGCCTGTCTACAGCACTCTGAGGGAGAACTCCCCGACGAGTCGCCCATTCAGACTGGAGCCTACGGTCGGGCATCTCTGCTTGGCGTGTCGCCGCGGCGGCCCCGGCGACACGCTATGCCCTGCAAGCAGATAGCGTATCGCTTTGCCCCGCGGACGGGACGATTGGAAGCACCTGGGAGGTCGACGCCTGGGGGCCGGGAGATGGATAGCGTGTCGCGCCGAAGCGTGTCGGGCCAAAACTGGCGAAGCGACACGCTGTCCGAAAGTACCCGACCGTATCCACAGAAGCGGAGAAAGCCACAGGCACGCCTCTTGGAGGAGGCCTTGGGTGTAGTCGTGGAGCCTCGCGGGCTCTTCTGGGGCCTGATCTGGGCCTCTCGGGTGCTCCCTGGGGCTCTTGGGGGCCTGCTTGTGGTTTCTGGGATTATCTTGGAATGGAGGGCGCGAGCTATCAGTTCGAGTTCCCGGGGCCCTCCTGGGACTCTTGGACCGTTTTGGGGGCCTCTCGGGCCGTCTTGGGGCCCTCTTGGGCCGTTTGGGGGCCTTCTTCTTGGGGGCCTATTGGGCCGTCTTGGGGGCCTCTGGGGCCGTCGTGCAGCGTTGAGAATTCGAAAAAGCGAGAGCGCTGAAACCCTTCAAACCCCGATGGGAAATCAATGATTTTGGCCTCTCGGGGCCCTTCTTGGGGAGCTGGAGCCCTCTTGGGCCGTCTAGGGCCCTGCGGGGCCGTCTGAAAACAAAATTGGCGACCTCTTGGACCGTCTGGAGGCGTCTCGGGCCATCGTGGACCGTCGTGGGGCCCTCTTGGACCGTCTTGGAGCCCGCTGAGGGGAGCCCAGGGCGCGCCAGGGCCGGCCGGGACTGGTTTTGAGCCTTTGGAGCATTTTCCTTCTGGCACGCGGTCCCCCCCGTCGTTGTGGGGTATATGACGTTGGGCTCCAGCTTCACCTCCAACATCTCGCTCAACAGCGTCAGCGCCCACTGCCACTGCTCGCTCTTCCCACACGCGCTGATCCCAGCACTGTAGCCGACTAGTGTGAACCCGTGGAGAATCCACGGCTAGCAGGTGAAGGTGTCAGTCCCGAACGCGCAGGTGTCGCCGACGCCTGCGGGTTTGCTTCGGGACTTTCTTGGGGCCATCGAGGGCTCTACGAGGAATGTCCCCCCTGTCACCCCCCATCGGCCGCCTTGGGCAACGCTGGGGCCGTCCTGCGCGCGTCGGGGGCCGTGCTGGGAGCCTCTGGGGCTGTACTGGGGGTCGTAGTGCGCTCGGGGCCGTCCTGGGTGCGGGCGTGTTTTGGGAGTGCCTAAGGATCTTGTTGGGCTGTTTGAAGGGGCCCCAGGACACACAAATAAATACACACAAATAAAGATATCCCCCATATTTTCCCATATTTTCTGGGGGATCGACGATTAATTGTGTCTGTGTGTTTTTTCCCCTCCTGACTGTTGTTCTTGGAGGCAATCGGAGAGCCACACCGTTGTCGGGCCTTGCCGTCTCGGGGGCCCCGCGGGCGCCCTGCGGCCCCTCTTGGAGCCCTCCTGGGGGTCTCTCTGGAGCGTCGCGGGGCCGTCTTGGGCCTTTTGGAGGCTCTCTTGGGCCATCTCGGGGTCCCGCGCCGTCCTTCGGGTCGGGCGAAAGGGGGGGATAGCAAAGGGGGGGTTTGAGAATCAGCTCACGTAACTGATTTCCCTGGCGCCTCCCGGCGCCGGGAGGCGCCCATGTATCGAGGAATGGGCCCGGCGGCGGGGCCGAAACCAGCTGCATGCAGCAGATTTCGTAACCCCCCCTTTCCCAATCCCCCCCTTTCGCCCGGCCCGAGTCCTGTAGCTTGCCTTGGGGCCTGTTCGGCAGCTCCGGGGGCCCTCTTGAGGCTGTCTTGGGGGCCACCAGAGGCTCTGTGATCGTGGGCCTCTCTGGGGCAATCTTGGGGCCCTCTTGGGCCGTCTCGGGGCTCGTGGGGAGCGATCGGTGGCTTCCTGGGACGTCTCGGGCGTGCGGAAGCAAGAAAAGGGAGAAGACGGAAATCACCAACAAAAACAAAAGGAAATCGTCCATTTACTCTCGTCGAGGCCTGTCCGGAGACTCTTTCGGAGCCTTCGAGAGCGACCTGAGCGCTGCTGGGGCCGCCGGGAATGCAAGTTCGGGCCGCCCAAGGTTGCGCTTGGGCCGTGTTGGAGCTTTCTTGGGCCGTCTTGGGGCTCATCAAAGCGCTCAGGAGCAGCCCCGGACCGCCGGAGGCGCAACCGGGGGCCGTGAGCGCGCTGGGGGGCCACTCACGTTTGGCCACTTTCGCGTGGCCTTCTGGCCGCGGAATCTGCCCGCCATGGCGTGGACGTGGAAGCAGAGGGGACGGCGTGGATGGAGGAGGTGGACGCTGGAGGGGAGGTGGGCGAGGGATGCAGGCACGCAGGGCTGAAAGCAGGAACGCGATGGTGGAGGCGGTGTTAATTGAAGCACACCCATGCAGGCACGACATGGTGTGGACAGAAGCTCTTTCTCACGCCGCAATCTGTATTCATTACAACGTCTGCGGGGCGGGTCGCCGTGATAATCGCATCTTCTCTTCGCTGGGGCCGAAGGATCATTTTATCTGGTAGTGTGGTGAGAATGGGGCTGGTGGGCGCGGCCTAAGAGGCCCGCAAGAGGGCGCCGAGACGGCCCAAAAGGTCTCCAGGACGGGCCAAGAGGCTTCCCAGACGGCCTACGAGGGCCCCACGAACTTCCTAAGACGGGGCCCAGTGCGAGGACACGAGTCGACCTTTCGAGCGCACCGCCCAAAGACGTGCCCAAAAGGCCTAGAGGTGACTCCCAGAGGGTCCAAGAAGCCCCCAAGACAAGGCTGGAAGTTCGACGCTCCCCAAACGCATCGAAGGCCTCTTGGGGGGCGTTTGGGGGCCTCTTTTCGTCCTCCTGGGGGTCTCTCGGGAACCTCTTGGGTCGTCTTGGGTGCCTCTTGGGCCGTCTTGTGGCGATGTGGGGCCGTCTTGGGCGCCTCTAGGACGTTCTCAGGCCCGTCGCTGTGGATCACCATTTTGTTTAGCGTCACTTGCTTTCTGGTCGAAGGCTGTTCCTTGTCTTCCCTGCTGTCTTTACTCACATTTTTCGCTTCTGCAGCCGTTCTCCCTCGCAGAGCTAAAAACGCAACACGCAAAACCGCTCTAAGACCTGTCGAGCACGGGCCCGAAACAGGCCCGGACGCCCCAAGAGGGGCTCCGAGGAAGGCGGGCAGTCGGACTGAGAGAGCCGGAGGGCTGAGGGCTGCACGCCAGGAGGAGGAGCTGAGGACGTCGCAGACGGCAGCGTTAAACAATGCAACCCGCGGATCTGAAAACGATACCAACAAAACCTACAAACGCAACAACATGAATCATTTGTTTTTGAGCGATTTTAGTTACCTAACAGCGAAGACTGATAGGTTTCTAGTAGTGTCAAAAGAGAGCAGCAGATGACTCCACAGGGGGGTCTGGGCAGCCGTTGGGGAGGTGTTGGGGTTTGCCGGCAGAATCGTTTTTCGCATGCAGTCACAGACTTCGTGCTCTTCGACCTCCCAGAACTCCATTCCCGGGCCACATTCTGAATGCCCGGAGCCAACTGTAGGCCACTTCGTGCTCTTCGACTTCCCAGAACTCCATTCCCGGGCCACATTTTGAATGCCCGGAGCCAACTGTAGGCCACTTCGTGGTCTTCGAGTTCCCAGAACTCCATTCCCGGGCCAGATTTTGGATGTCCGGAGCCAACTGTAGGCCACTTCGTGGTCTTCGAGTTCCCAGAACTCCATTCCTGGGCATGAATTTGAATGCCCGGAGCCAACTGTAGGCCATTCCCGGGCCAGATTTTGGAGTCCGGAGCCAACTGTAGGCCACTTCGTGGTCTTCGAGTTCCCAGAACTCCATTCCTGGGCATGAATTTGAATGCCCGGAGCCAACTGTAGGCCACATCGTGTTCTTCGAGTTCCCAGAACTACATTCCCGGGCCACATTTTGAATGCTGAGGCAGGCTGAGGCTGAGGCTGAGGCAGGCTGATGCTGAGGCAGGCTGAGGCTGAGGCTGAGGCTGATGCAGGCTGAGGCTGAGGCAGCTGAGGCTGACTGAGGCTGAGGCTGAAGCAGGCTGAGGCTGAGGCTGAGGCAGGCTGAGGCTGAGGCAGGCTGAGGCTGAGGCTGAGGCAGGCTGAGGCTGAGGCTGTGTCTGTGACTGCCGTTGCCACTGCGACTGTCATCGCGAATGCGACTACGACTGCGAGAACAGCACAATTCTACAACTGGATTCTCATCTGAATCTTAAGGGGAATGCTTCCAGATATGCTCCTACACATCGCTAATAGGTTGCTTTGCCGGGATAATTTTATTGCTGGGGCCGAAAAACACTAAAACATGATTTCGAACACGCCGAATAAAACAACGGTAAATGAACGCCCTGGGTATATCTAAGATTAGGTCGGGGATGTCCCCCTACAGGCGGATTTTGGACGAACAATTAAAGATACCTCAAACATGTTCAAACATAGTTTAAACAAATCGTCCCTTGATTATTTTTTGACTATGTTTGAATATTCCTCCTGTAGAGGGACAGGCCCGACTTAAATCTAAGAAGAGCCAAGGCCGTCTGGGGGCCCCTTGAGGCTCTGTTGTTCGGCTCCCTGGGGCCTGTTCTGGGCCGTCTTGGGGCTCTCGTGGGCCGTCTTGGTGGGCTCGTGCGGCAGGTTTACGTCGGGCCTGTCCCTCTATAGGGGGGGATACCGAAAAATAATTTAAAAAATGATCCGGGGGCGATCTTTTTTGTATTTTTGATCATCTTGGTGTATTTTTTGGATACTTTTTATTTTTCGTCCAGAATCCGCCTGTAGGGGGGCATGCCCGACCTAACGGTAGGTTCGTGCCGTGTCGACCCTGGCCTGTATTTCTGACACCGCGGGGCTCGTTCAACTCTGAACGATCGGCGGCTTCTCGAGCGCCCGCTCGTTCCACGTTGGACCGATTCTGGGCCACTGGCGGCGTTCAACCTTGAACGCCTCTGACCCGGGTCAATCCAGACCCGGGTCAGCAGGAAACCAAAAACTGCAATGCAGGAAAAAAAAAAACTGCAACGCAGGTCCTCGCAGACCCGGGTCAGCCAATAGGCGCGGCCGCCTCGCGGCCACGAGCGGCTCCCTAACCCGGGTCAGCCAGAGGGGGTCTTCGCAGGATCCTGCAGGATCTGGCGCCGTGGCTGACCCCCGTTTGCATTGACCCCCGTCTGGCGGGGTCGCCGCCGGTCGACGCAACGCGAACCTACCGTCAGGGCCTCTTGGTGCGATCTGAGTGCGATCTTGGAACGGCCTGGAGTCGTCCGGGGCCCTTCTGGGCCCGTCATAGGAGGGATGCGACAAGCCTTAGAAGCTGTACGGTGTTGGGCTGTTTTTCCATCTCGTGGGGCCCATCGTCGGGGTCTTCGTGGGCCGTCTGTGGATCCTCCTGGCGAACCTTCGGGCCCTCTTCGGCCGTCCTGGCCCTCTCCTTCGAGCATCAGAGCTGCACTGGGGCTGTATGAGGCTGTCTGCAGGGGCCATCGGGCGACCCTCTGAGCCCGTCGGGGAGCGTCCCGGGGGCGCTCTGGGCGCTCGGGGGCGCTGCGGAGATACTTTTCCGTAGCGCCAAACTCGCACGCGCCGCGACAAAAAATGTTGTACAAACGACGTCGGGCTTCAGCTTCGATCCCGGAAATTCGCCCAGCAGCACCAACGCCCGCTGCCATTGCTCGCCCTTCCCGCACGCGCTTATCCCGGCGTTGTAGATGGTGACGCGGGGCTCCATCTTCACTTTCCGCACCTCGCTGAGCACTGACAGCGCGTGCTGCCATTGTCCACCTCTTCTGCATGCGCTGACCGTCGCAATGTAGTGGCTTGGGACGAGTTGCACACGTAATAAAATTCCTTCGCGGAGCAAATGTAGTGCTGCGCTCCATTGTTTTGTTCCACCGCAGTTCTTGATCGACGCTTCGAAGGGAATTGCGCCGCCTCGAGACCCCCGACCGATGTCCACCATCCGAAACGTCAGTCCAGAAAGACATGGCACCGCGGCTGGTTGAGCCCAATCAGGTCTTGAGCCAAAATGGCTGCGGTTCGCGTCCGCCTCCTCCGCCCTCCCTCCGCTCTCCTACATCCTCCTGTCTCCTGTCTCCTCCCTTCATTCCTCCTCCCTCCTCCCCCTCCTCCTCCTCCTCCTCCTCCTCCTCCTCCTCCTCCTTCTCCTTCTCCTTCTCCTTCTCCTACTTCTTCTCCTTCTCCTCCCCCCCGTTCTCCTCCTCAACTACTCAACATCTGTACTACTCTCACTTACCCCCAAATTTGGCCTGGAAGTGCCCTGCCCTCCGTTTTTTGTTTTTGTTTTTCGTATACTTGTAACACACACACACACACACACACACACACACACACACACACACACACACACACACACACACACACACACACACACACACACACACACACACACACCAGGGTATCATGATTTTGTACTCCCGACTGTTTTCTTCATTCGGAGCGTTCTGGGCGTGTCAAAACGGTGCTCCCACTCCAGCATGGGCCTCGCTTTAGGATCGGCGCTTTGTTCCCGTCGTTCAGAAAAGGCGCTCTCGTCCCAGCGCGGGCGACTTTCCGAAAGAGCGAGAGAGAGCGAGAGAGAGGTTGGAAATATAAACTTCAGATGTCCCAGGAGTGTCGCAATAACTTGACCATGGACGGCGGAAGGCGTGTGGTGCTCTACCTCTGGTTGTGGACGAGCCCCTGGTGCGCATCCACTAGGCCGAATGATGTCTACACCTAAGGAAAGACCATCTGACTGCCTCGACTCGGGTGTGGGGTGCCATGCGGTGGCCTCCCTGTGCCCACCCGCCTCCGTCACAAGACCTTCGCATTTCCAGTATGGCAGTGGGGCGGATGAGCGGTCCGCCTCCCCACAGGCTGCACGTACTGCCAGAGGTCCGTGGGAATTTGACTAGAAGTCTATGGATGAACCCCGTTCCCTCCTGCCGCCCTCCCCGTCGCGCAAAGCCTCCGCTCCCCAGCGACAGAATGCCAGCGGGTGAAGCCGAGGAGGCTGGGGGCAAACTCGGACCCACGAACAGGTTCTCCGCAAGCAGGAACTCCACAAGCGTGAACCCCACGGGAACACCCATGCTCAGGAACTATACATGCGTGTGTGCCATGATGAGGTCGAGCTCCAGTCGCGTTGGTCACCACGGTGCTGCTGGTTCCCGTCACGATCGTAGCACTCGTGCTGCCGCTCGCGCACGCGAAGTGCTGCGCGGACGAGGACTTCGGCGAGGTCGGAGAGCTGGCTGCCGACGGCCAATCGAGAGCAAGACGACCGCGCACACCGCGTGGAGGGCACACGGGGGCCCGATGGAACCCTGCGGTGGCCGACGGAGCGGCCGCCTGCCCCGTGGTGGGTAGGGATCCGCTCCATACCACGAGCCCCACGGTGGCCCGTGCGCGTGTCTCGCGGCGGTGCCCGCTGGCAGCGCCAGCTTCTGCTCCTACGCTCCCGTGGGCTCTGTATGGCCCACGCGCTCGGTGGCTCGTTTATCGCGCCCCTTGTCGCCGTGGTGCTTCTGGTTCTTCCGGAGGAGGGCGAGGAGAACGAGAGGGGGGGCAAAACACTGAAGAGAGGAGACGAAGGGAGGGAGCGGAGGGACGGGGGAACGTAGAATGGGGAGCCAGCATCACCCTCCCGCCCTCCCCCTCCCAAGGTCAATGAATTCTCTGAAATCTATGGTGGAGCACTGGACGGCTGGGACGGTATACAAGTCCTGATCACGGCCCTTTCCGGAGATCGGTTGGCGCCTCAAAAGAGAAGGCCACGCACGTGACGCAATCCAATGTCCACGAACGGCGGAAGGCGTATGGTGCTCTTCCTTTGGTTATGGCTGAGCCTATACTGCTCATCCAAGAGGCCGATGGTTGCCTCATGCCATAACAAACCCTGTGATGGCCTCGACTCGGGTGCGGGGTTCCATATGGTGCCCCCCCCTGCGCTCACCCCGGCCCGATCGCTCATCTCGTGGCTGTGGTCCCGCTCCTTTCCCCATTCTAGCCTTCCCCTGGTCGTCCTACTCTTCCTGCTCCATCCACTCCCGCAACTGCTGGCACTGCTGCTGTTCCTCCTCATCCTCCGCCTGCCTCACGCTCCTCCTCCTCCTCCTCCTGCTCCTCTTCCTCCTGATCCACCACCTCCTCCTCCTCTTCCTCCTCCAGTGTATGCAACTTCCCTCTTGCGATTGCGCATGGCACGTTGGGGTGCTTTCGAAGGTTTCAGGCCCGCTGTGACACGCGTCGGCGGATAGAGAACACATCGGCGCAATGGTCGGGGAGACGTAAGACCCGGTTACGGGGGACTCGGAAATCCCCGACGAGGTCGTCAAAAAATGACGAGGCCGAGCCTGCATTTTGACGAGGCCTCCCGCTGCAGACATCCAACGAAACTCCTACTCGTCAAAATCCGAGTCGCGGTCGTCAAAAAACGATGCCGAACCCGAGTCCTGGCAAACCCGGGTCTTACGCTCCCCAGAAATGGGAGAGGATGGGTGTGGAGGGTAGGGTGCCCGGCATGGCGCGAGCGCACCCAGCTTGACGTCACCATCCTCTCCCTCCTGCATCCTCCTTTGTGCCCTCCTCTCCTCCGAAGCCATTTTGGCGCAAGCCATCCTGGTTCAAGCACCGGCTCCAGCAGCAGTCCGTAGCTATTTGGCTCTCTGATCGCGCGCCCAGTTCAGCTGTCGCGTTCACGTGGTGCTTGAGGGACCTATGGTTCGCCGCGCGAGTATGCCGACCTGCTTCGCGCTACTTACCCCGACAACGACGGAAAGCAACTTTGAGCTGAATCTATTCGCTGCTCGCGTATCGTGTCGCGAGGCTTGTGCTATTCAGGCTAGAGTTGGTTTTGTATCATTATTCAATTCGATGTTACCTCAGGTGCGTATGCGCAGCCGTGAGGGAACATGACCTGTGCTTAAATGCGAGGAGCATTACTGAAGGCTTTGCATGGTGCGCGCGGGATGTTACACCTGCGAGGGCGTGGTCGCCGTGTGCTCCTTTCAAGAATTGTGTGGCAACACGGTGAACACTATGCGATGCCGGTCGTGTTTATTAAACTTTGGTTGGGGTATGGCGAAGTCTGCCTCCACAACACGTATAACCATCTCTTGTTTGGGTTCGGCTCCTTGGTTTCAGTGACAACCTCCCGCTTCCTCCTCCTCCTCCTCCGCCTCCTCCTGTTTCTCCTCCCCTCCTTCTCCTTCTCCTTCTCCTTGCTTGTCCCTCCTCCCTCCTCCTTCTCCCTCCTTCTCCCTCCTCCTCCTCCTCCTCCTCCTCTCCTCCCTCCTCCTCCTCCTCCTCCTCCTCCTCCTCCTCCTCCTCCTCCTCTCTTCCTCCGTTTGTATTACCATCCTCCTCTTCCTCCGCCTCCTCCTTCTCCTTCTCCTCCTCCTCCTTCTCCTCCTCCTCCTCCTCCCCCTCCTTCTCCCCCATTTCCATCCTTCTCCTCCTTCTCCTCCTCCTCCTCCTCCTCCTCCTCCTCCCCCCTCCTCGTCCTCCCCCTCGCTTCTCCCCCTCCTTCTCCTCCTATTTCTCCTCCTATTTCTCCTCCTCCTGCCCCTCCTCCTCCTCCTCCTCCTCGCTCCTTCTCTTCCTCCTCCTCCTCCTCCTCCTCCTCCTCCTCCTCCTCCCTCCTCCTCCTCGTCCTCCTCCTCCTCCTCCTCCTCCTCCTCCTCCTCCTCCTCCTCCTCCTCCTCGCTCCTCCTCCCTTCTCCCTCCTCGTCGCTCCTCTCCCCCAATCTCTCGCGGAGAGCGCGGGCCTCCGCCTCGAAGATCTCGGGGCAACAGATGATGCCTGCTGGGGGCACTTCTGGGCTGCAGCGGGGGGGTGTTGGGGGTGGCTCGAGCAGCTGGAGGGGGGGGGGCCCTCGAGCGGGGAGGGCAGGGCGGAGAGGGAGGGCTGGGGGGGGGGGCGGGAGTCCTTCCCTCCCCTGTCCTCCCTCCTCCGTGCTCGAGGAGGCAAGGGAAGGATTCTGATGGAGGGGTGGGAGGAGGGAGAAAGAAGGAGGAGGAGGATACACTAGCTACAGTGAGTTGCCATTTTGGCACGTCGGTAGGGGAGTGCCCTGACATGCCCACTGTGGGCGACCGACCACACATAGCCCAGTATACAGCTCTCCCTCCTCAAGTCAGTTACCGTCGATGGCTTCCTCCTTTTTGACTTCTTGTGCGACTTTTCCCATAATGATGCCAAACCCTTTCTATACGATTGCCTTGCTCATCTTCCTTTCGGGGCCCCCTAACCGTCAGGACAGGGCGGGCTCTGCCTGCGCAGTCCACCACCAGCGCCATCACGCTGTCAGTGCTCCTCTTCCTTGGCTCTCGCCACTCTCCCTGCACCTTCCGGTGCCGCACTACAGCAGCCACCTGCAGTGCTCACGCCTCGCTGCAAGCCAGCCCACAGGGCCAGCCTTCACCTCCCACCACCAGTACACCCTGCGAAATGCTTAAGAAATCATGGGTTAAGAAATTCATAGTCTCAGAACTTCAATAAAAACCCAACATTTCTATTAAAATCTTAGGATTTACATTGAAACGTTAAGAATAATCGAGACTCTGGCCGAAAACTTGGGTTTTCTTAAGCATCGCCTAAGGTGTAAGCAGAGTTCTGCCAGGCCAGCCCCCACGGGCCAGCCTACAGCCAGGTCAGGTCAGAAGCCGTGCATCTGTAAGACGCGTTGGCAAGAGCATCCGGATCGCTATTGGACCGATGCTTGGCAGTGCGCCTGCCTGTATGTGTAAAAAATCACCTCCGGGTTGCGATAGCGCGCGGCGGAAATCCGAGAATGATAGACAACAAGCACGCGGCCCCAGGTCCAGGTGGTTGGGGGTAAACCCAATAACCCTGGGTAGCAGCCCAAGCATTGCCGCCAAGCTTGCCCTCGTCATTCGCAGCCTCACGTTTCTGGCACATTGCCTTGTACTTGCTCACCTCCTACCTGGGCTTGACGGCGCCGGCCACCTGGGGGATGGGTGC